TGGCAAAGCAGGCATACTGCTTTATACTATTCCTGCTTCTTATTTAATCTAGTCCCACAACACCATAAGACATTAGCCTTCCTCATGGAGAATTTAACGTGTTTTCCACAGGCAGGAACATGGCAAATGATTCAACCTGGACCAGAGCCCAAGTCTATTTTATCCCATACCCTGTGCTTCTCCTCAGCCCTTGGGAAGATAAGGCAGTTGTTCTGGTGCCGCAGGGCTGTAACCAGGAAAACATGGGGTGGGGCCGACACAATGATTTAGAATAAAAGGTCTCAGTTCTGTCTTTGGTCACCAAAGCTTCCAGAAACTCATTGTTAAAGTGGAACTGTAATAATGCCTGCTGAAAGGTTGCAAAGAATTAAGGAGATCTGTGAAATACTGTGTAATCTTGTAAAGTACTAAGGCAATATTAATAATTTTTAAATGTTGATGAATGTATTATTCTACAATCATCCATGTTTTCCCAATATATTTATAAACCTAATAACTTATGTACACAAACGTTAATTAGTTGAGAGTTATTTGAATATAGTAAATATTTCCTGCAAAAATAGTTCAATATTTGTCAATATTGATGAGAAGCTTTTATTTTTCAGTACTGGGGATCAAATTTGGGAGTACTTTACCACTGAATTACATTCCAAGCCATTTAAAAATTTTTATTTTGAGACAGAGTCTTGTTAAATTGTGCAGGCTAGGCTCAAATTTGAGATCCATCTGTCTCATCCTCCCATGTAACTGGAATTTAAAGTTTTTTAGTTGGTTGTCCTCATTCCCCTTCTGGTGCTGCGTATTGAATCCAAGGCCTCACAAATACTAGGCCAGCACTCTACCATTGAGCTATATGCCTAAATCTTCTCCTAAATATTTTAATAAGTAGTAGAGATGTGTTAAGGGTTTATTTCTGTGCCTTCTATATCATTTAGAACACTAATTCTAGCTAGCACAACAAAATAATTAATATTTAAATATTTAAACATTAACTTGAACAGGTTGGACTTGCTTTCATGAATAGTCAAGAAACTAGCTAGTTGAATTTTCAATCAAACCATGTGTTGGGTTAAGTCTGCCATTAGCGTAAAACAAGCATCATCCCCTCCCAACACTCTTCTTTTAAAAATTAACTTTAATAAATCCAGTTGCTTTTGGTGTTTTACTTCAGATTCTTTTTGACTCTAAAATTATGGAAATAACATGAAAGTAGAAGACTTTATGTGATGGTGCCTCATGCAGGATAGGCAGGTGCTCTGTTACCAAGATATATTCCCAGTCCAAGACTTTGATTTTAATCACTCATTTATGAATGTCATTTAGCCAGTGAAACCCTGCAGATTATAATGATATGTGAAAATGAAATTTTTCCAACTTTTTGAATTGTGAGTCAAGATTTTGTTAATATTTGTTGTGTTCTTATGGCTTAATGATAATAGAACTTAATAGATTTTTAAGAAGGTGCCAGTTTACGATTTCATGGAGTTTGTCATCCTTGGCTGTGACCTGGTGGTAAATTGTCTAGATAAGTTGAGTGTGTAGTTCTGAAATGGGCCAGACTCTGGAGCCCAAGGATTGCTCTTTGGAAGACCTGTTAAGCTGGGTACTTCAAGGACTTGAGGTATGGGAAATTATATTCTGGCCTTTGTTTAACAACCCATTATGTGCTTATTACCCATCATTTGCCTATACACTTTCACTGAAGTTTTCTTTTTGCTTTTTAAAAATCACTTGAAACCATCCTTCCAGTGAGTTTTCTTCTGTCTAAAGTTGGATTTCATTTTATTTTACAAATAACCAAACAGCTCTTCTGTACTGTCTCATTTGCATTGGTCCTGTCCATGGTTGTGGGCATTTGGAGAACAGCTATGCTGTAAAATGCTGTGGTGCTGTGTGCAGCTAGGTCAGAAAGCCGGCCTCCTAGTCAACTGAGGGGTACGGGACGCTTCCTCATGGAGAA